AAGCGTTAGCTTGTTCTCTTTCCATGGATGCTGTCTGACCTGCTGTGATCTCCAGCATTTGAGGTTTTCCGTATAGATTCCAGCATCTGCAATAATTTGTTCCTGCCCTTTACCCAGAAACTGGTTTAATCTGGATTTACTACCACAGTCTAGTAGTATAGATGCACTGAAGAGAAGTCAAGTTAAACAGATGAAGGGGAAAGGAGTGCTAATAAGGTTAAGGACATGCAGTTGTGGGTGCCTCATGTGGAGCATAAATGCCAGCACAAGGTTGGGAGGAATGGCCTGCTGTGTGCTGTAGACTTGAGGTAATTTTCCAAAGTTTAATAAACTTCCTTTTATCTCAAAAGAAACTGATCTTGTTACCATTAACAAGATGTAATTCACAAAAAAGAAACAATTATCAAAATCCGATGGCTCATTGACCTATGTCTATACTTTCAGGAACTTGTGAATTGGATGTCAACTTAAGATGCTTGCATAAGTGTAGAGCTTGGTGAGATACTGGACAGATCTCGCGATCCCCAGTAAACACAGCTTTGTAACTGGTAAAATACCAGGTATAATGCTGCCAGAATGTGAAATAGAAAAACACGGATCTAGCCACTCCCTTCCTACATGGTAGGAGCACCTTTAGTGCACACAATATAGTGGTTCAGGAAGGCAGCTCACCATCACCTTCCCAAAGACATCTAGGGGATGGGTAGAACAGTCACATCCCCATCTCAGAAATGGATTAAAACAGGGGCCAGCTAACAGCTATGGAGGGTGAAACAAGAGTTAATCCTTAGTCAATGACCTTTATCAGAACTGGAATTTGTTAGAGATTAAGAGCTTTTATGCAAATATGCTGCTGAGTGTAAAAGGACTGAATTAATGACTAACTGCTTATTGTAAATGACTGTTCTTTGCTTTCCTCTGCACTCTCGGATATTGGTATCAACTGGTATTTTTTGCCCAACAGTAAATGAGAAGATGTTGATCAGCTGCATTCTCAAGTCATTGCAATCTGTGTGCTGTAGACACACCCACAGTGCAGCTCAGGATTTTGAATGATTGATGATGAAGGAATGGCATTATTGTTCTAAGCCAGGATAGTGTGTGATTTGGAGGGAACTGGGAGGTGGTGGTGTTCCCATGCATTTACTGGCTTTGCCCCAGTAGTAGAGGATGTGGAAGTATTGCCAATGCAGAGTGCTCAAGTGGCTCTGTCTTCAGGACAGCCCTGCCATCTGAGAGGCTGATGACCCCTCACAGGTCTCCAAGGCACTTCGAGAGGCAAGTCGCCACAGGCAGGAAGTACGCCTGTCACTTAACAGATAACCCAATAGGGACAGAGATAGTAGGAACTGCAGATGCTGGAGAATCCGAGACAACAAGGTGCAGAGCTGGATGAACACAGCAGGCCAAGCAGCATCATAGGAGCAGAAAGGCTGACGTTTCGGGCCTAGACCCTTCATCAGAAATGGGGGAGGGGAAGGGGGTTCTGAAATAAATAGGGAGAGAGGGGGAGGCAGATAGAAGATGGATAGAGAAGAAGATAGGTGGAGAGGAAACAGACAGGTCGAAGATGCAGGGATGGAGCCAGTAAAGGTGAGTGTAGGTGGGGAGTTAGGGAGGAGATAGGTCAGTCCAAGGAGCACGGACAGTTCAAGGGGGTGGGATGAGGTTAGTAGGTAGGAGATGGGGGTGCGGCTTGAGGTGGGAGGAGGGGATAGGTGGGAGGAAGAACAGGTTAGGGAGGCGGGGACGAGCTGGACTGGTTTTGGGATGCGGTAGGGGGAGGGGAGATTTTGAAGCTTGTGAAATCCACATTGATAGCATTGGGCTGCATGGTTCTCAAGCAGAATATGAGTTGCTGTTCCTGCAACCTTCGGGTGGCATTGTTGTGGCACTGCAGGAGGCCCAGGATGGACATGTCGTCTGAGGAATGGGAGGGGGAGTTGAAATGGTTCGTGACTGAGGGGTGCAGTGGTTTTGGTGGGATAGGAGAGGGAGTCAGCTGCGATCATTGCTGGTGAACTTTGACAATTTCTGGCTATTGAGCCTCTTTTCTTTTTCTATCCCCTTCCCACTGAAACATGGAATGGTTTGAATCTTTAATCTTTAAATCACAATGGTGACTTTTGAGAAACAGCAGAACTTTACACACAAGGCTGCAACCAATGCTGGGAACTGGGTGTGAACTGGGTAAATCCAGTCTCCCGTCCAAATTCACTGCAAACCCATTCAGTGACATGCATTGATGTCTAGTCTGGCAACATTTCAATTTTAAAATTCCCACCTGACTCGGCAAATCCCTCCTCGCTCAATAATCTCCAAGATCTCATCCAATTGAGGCATGGACCTTACATCCTAAAAGTGTTTCAGAAGAGTATTAGCAGTGGTTAGCACTGCTGCCTCACAACATCAGGGACCCAGTATCAATTCTAGTCTCTGTGTGCAGCTGTGTGTGTGGCATTTGCACATTCTCCCTGTGTCTGTGCGGGTTTCCTCCCACAGTCCAAAGATGTGCAGGTTTGGTGGATTGGCCATGCTAAATTGCTCATAATGTTGATATGTAGGTTAGGTGGATTAGCCATGGGAAATGTAGGGTGGGAGGGTTGGTGAGTCTGGGTGGGATTCTTTTCGGAGATTCGGTGTAGACTTGTTGGGCCAAATGCCCTGTTTCCACGCTGTAGGAATTTTAAAAAGAGAAAAAATTCTAAATTTTACACAAACCAATGTGAACGATGTTCCTGGCTCAGTGAAAGGGCAAGGTTTTAAGGCCTGTCTGAAAGGAGGATGGAGAGGCAGAAAGATTTGGGGGGGATTCCTGAGCTCAGGGCTCAAGCAGGAGAAGGAACAGTCATCAATGATAGAGCAATGAAAATCAGGGATGCGCAAAAGGCCAGAGTCAGAAGAGAGCAGTGATCTATGAGGGTTGTAGGGTTAACTACCAATTAAAATCCATGTAACTGACAGAAGAAAGTCTGAAACAAAGATTAAAAAGCTTAAAACTAGTTTGAACTTTTTTTTAACCCTTTCACCATTTGTTGTTACTCTTTTACAAGTTAGTATCTCTAATTGAGAGTCTCCACACTATACAAAATATGCTGCATGCGCTACTAACAACCCAAAACTGGATGCTCCTGACTGTAGGAGCGGGTTGATACCAGATTATAGGAAGGAAACAGGATTAAATCTAAAAGACCTAGTCTATCTACCTCATCCTCAACCATCCTGGTCATCAGTCACCTGGTAACTACTTTAATAAAGTCATTGACTAATCATAGTGATCAATCTCTATCATTACTTTTGAACAATCTAAGGTATGAGACGATTAAGGCTAGGGTTGAGCTCTTGTGGTGCAGTATTTGTCTCTCTATCTCTGAGCCAGGTTCAAGTCCCATCTACTCCAGAGGTATGTGATAACATATCTGAACAGGTTGATTAAAAATATCTAGGAGAGACCAAAATATGAAATAGTGAAAGCCAGGATTGAACTGTCCTGCTACAGCGTTAGTGACTCTCCCTGTGTCCCTGAACGTCTGGGTTCAAGTCCCACCTGCTCCATTTTTATGGAATATGCCAGTGGGATAGAGCCTTGGGAATCATTGTTTCAAAGTCACTTACTCCTCCCAAACAGTGCTGCGTCTAGATTAGGTTCAGCACCGAGTGAATAGAGAGGGATAAAAAAAAACAATGAGACAAGGTCTCTGCTGCTGACCGCACCATGCAGTCAAATAGCCAGGCTGTACTCTCTGCATAGGCCCACAGAGTCAGTTATATAAGGCACCACATGGTATCTATGACTCCTTAGCTATGGGCCCTCTATTAGCAAAGGGACAAATCCCAGGCAGCAAATGGTCAGCCATGGCTCAGTAGGTGGTAAGCATTCTCTCCGCTGAGAAATAACATTTCAGTTTCACTCTAGAGTCTTGAGCACATAATCCAGGCTGACACTCGACAGGGCAGCATACACAGGGAGTACTGCATTATCACAGGTGCTGTCCTTTGGATGAGACATAGACCAAGCCTCATGTGTCCTCTCAGTTGGATGTAAAAGATCCCATGGTATTACATTAAAGAACAGAAAAACCTTCCCTAGTTCTATCCTGACCAATAGAATCCCTACAGTATGGAAGCAGGCCATTCAACTCATCGAGTCCACATCAACCCACTGAACAGCATCCCATCCAGACCCACCCTATCACTGTAACCCAGCATTTCCCATACCTAATCCACATATCCCTGAACATTATGGGCAATTTAGCATGGCCAATCTGCCTAACCTGCACATCTCTGGATTGTGGGAGGAAGCCCACACAGACACAATGAGAACGCGCAAACTCCACACAGTCACCCGATGGTGGAATTGAACCCAGGTCCCTGGTGTTGTGAAGCAGCATCGCTAATCACTGAGCCACCATACCACCTAACATTTAGACCTTAACCAACAACAACTCAACCGGCTATCTGGTTATAATCAGCCTGCTGTCTGGAACTGGGAGCTGCTCTTCTTGCATTAAAACAGTGACTGCACTTCTGAAAGTATCCTCTGGCTGTAAATCTTTTTGGAAAATCCTGCTACATTAATTCCAGGTGGAGTAATCAGAAAGCAACACATTCTCAAATGAAGAAATATCCCTGCAAGATTCATAAAATAGGATCCTGTTTAAATTAAAGTTACACAATTGAATATTTATTGAGCTTTTGCTGTTAACTTTATCTTAATGCCTCAGAAACCCGTGGACCAGCAGCGTAAAGTTAAACAGTGGCTGCCCATAGGAAGTGAATGCATTTATTGTGGATATACCCAAACATATGGTAAAGCACTTATCCTGTTTAACGCAACAGCTATACTACACACAAGACATCATAAAAGAACAGTCACCTGAAAAGCAGAGTTTATGCTGAGGGAGCTGGTTAAGTCAACATTACTTATAACTAAATGCAAGCACTCAAGCCCCAAATTATGGCTAAATTATTGGTAATTTATAAAGAAAAGACATACTGACCACTACAAAGCAGGCTTTGACTGTGACAATGGTTGGGAATTTCCAGTGGAAAGCGTGTCCTCTGTCTGATCAACATTGTATTAACTCATGCAGGATACACCCCAGAAGCAAGCATTGCTGTGGACTAACTGCTGACTGTATCATTGCAGAATTAAGACTGAACCACCAGCTTCACCCTTCCTTCCCCGCCTACCACCACCACCCGCTCCAAACAGGAATGCTCCACTTACGAGTTCTTCAGAGGGGTGGCTAGGAATAAGATGCCACAGCTGGAAAAAGTGGCTTGAAAGTTAGATTCCCAGCTCAGTGGCCAGTGGATACTTCCTCAGGATATTAGTCTTGCCAACCTCCCAACAGTGCCCCGGAGGCTCAATGTGTTGTTACAAAATAATATCCAAGATTTAAAAACCAACAAAAAAGAAATCATAGGCTTGCTAAAATATTTGTGCTTATTTTATTTCTCGTTTGTTTAGAAACATTTTGGACACAGGCAGAATTATTCAATTGAGGCGATACAAGGATTCTGTTTGATTTTTAATTGGCCATGGCAAGATCTGGCCTCTTGCAAGCATTGACTTTTCAGGCGATCTGTGGTGAGAGGTGTGGAAGTGGGATCACGTGATTAAACCTCCAAGAATGTACTGAAAAGTGACTGGTGTTTGGGCCAATATTTAATTCCTCATTCGACATCACTAAAACAGATTATCTGGGCACAACCACATCACTCTCTGGGGAAGCTTGCTGTGACCAAATTGGCTGCTCTGTTTCCTACGCTACATCAGTTCAAAAAAAGTACTTTGTTGGTGGTTTTATTGGGACGACTTGAGGTCATGAAGCGCAGAACAGAAATCCATGTTCTCTCTTTTAGGAAGAAGTTAATGTTTTCCTGTTAGATGTAGATGCTTGAATCCCATCTTGACTTCAGAGTGTGTCTTTCACTCCTCCTGTTGGCTGAATTTGGTAAGACACGTTTGAATTTCTGCTGATGGAGGGATATGAGGTACATTGGTTACTGTAATTTGAGATCTGGATAGTGAGCATAAATTCTCATTTAAATTATGTGTTAAGGTTTTCAGTGCTGTCAGATGTTGATGTGAGATTGCAGTGAAGGACACTGATTATATAACCTCAAACATCTATTCATCCCCAACTAGGCCTCAGCTAGAGTCTTGTCTCAATTTGGGTACCACATTGTAAAATTGATTTTGAGAGCCTACAATTGCATGTATAGAAGAAATAAAAGAGAATGGGAGCAGAGCTACATGGAACCACTGGAGATGATAGGATTAATTTTCTTTAAAGTGGACAACATTAACGACTCGTTCAATTGAGACTTTCAAAATCATGACAGCGTTTTGATACTGAAAATAATGAGAAACTTTCCACAGACAGGAGGTTTGGTAACCAGAAGTCATAGATTTAAGGCAATTGGTAAAAGAAGCAGAGGGTAGATAACTGCGCAGAGGCTGGTATCCCATCACCAAGTCATCCTTTATTTACTTGTACACAGTACCCTGGCTGTGGCCAGCCAGCTTGGAGTCAGTCCCCTGAACTGAGGAGGGTCTCATCTCCTGGTTATATTAGTCAGCCAGGGCTTTCCTGATTGGCCCAGGTTAACAACCCCAGCCAATGACCTCGTAGTCAATGAGGTCAACCTGGTTCCAATCACTACAATGAGAAAAAGTTGTATCTTACAATTCTTTGGAATCTCTGCACTCTTTCAGGTCAGGTATGTTGCACGTCTCAAAATTGTATCATTTCACCACTGGTGGCTTTGTTCCCAGCTGCTGATCCCCAACCACTGGAATTTCCAAACCATCTCTGCCTCTATTTACCTCTTTTTCTGCCTTTTAAGATGCCCCTTCGACTCAAGCTTTTGGTTAGTTGGCCTAACATCTCCTTATGTGGCTCGATGTCCAATTTTTATAACATCCTTTGAAAGGAAGTTTAAGGTACTAGACACAGGTGAATTGTTATTGTTGTGATCTGGAATGCATTGCCTGAAGCAGATTCAATATTAAACTTTAAAAGGGAATTGGATAAATACCTAAGCAGTAACCACTTGCATGCCCATGGGGAAAGCACAGATGGAATGGGATTAACTGGATAACTCATACAGAGAGCTGTCACAGGCACAATGGGCTGAATAGTCTCCTTTTCTGTTTGATTCTATGGGTAAATCCTGTGACAACTGAAGTCAACCTCTGATGACTGATGGTGGCGAGGTTGTTGCAAGGAAAACGTGTCAGTACTTTGTATTTAAGACTCAAGCTGCTCAGTCATCCAATGACAAGCCACTGACAATGTGCCTTCAACTCCACAATGCAAGGTGTGAACTTGGCAATCTTTTGCAAAACGTAAACAAGTAAGAATTATAAAAGAAAGATGATGGTAAGACTTGCATTTATTTAGCATCTTTCATGATGTCAGTCTGTCCCAAAGCACTGTACAATCAATGCAGTGTTGTAGCTATTGCAATGTAAGGACTGCAGCACCCAGGCTGCATACATTAGGTTCTTACAGACAGCATTATGAATGTGACCAGATAATTTGGTTTAGCCATGTTTATTATTAGATAAATATTGACTTAGACACTGGGGAGAAATGCTCTGGTTCTAATGTGAAATACAGTGATTGAATTGTCTGAGAGCACCATGGGATTATCTGAAAAGGCAGACATTAGAATGAAAACTAAATCAGTGCTTTTTTTATCAAAAATATATTTAATTTTGAAAAAGACATTTGACAAGGTGAAAGTCAAATTAGCTTCTTCCAATGTTTTACGTAACTGACTACATTACAATTATACTCAATATTTACAAGGTTTGTTTCGTGTCAAACATTGATCCCTACAGGTTTTGCAGTTTCTAGTCTCTTCGTGTGCTTTGATTAAAAAGGTCTTAGTGAATGGCCTCCTTTTTTCCAAAAATATATTTCATAAAATTTGTAAAAGTACATTACAAAAACATTTCAAATTGAAAATTGGAAGAAGTGCAATGCAGTTTAACTTTTCTCCGTATAGAATGTTCCATTCTGAGATACTTCAGTACAGTTGCAATACTCTTGATATCCACAATAAAAATTACAAATAAGGTTTACAACCTGAGGGTAAAACATTTCAAATTGGATATTACAGAAAATGCAAAAGAATTCAACCTCTTTTCATATGGACTGGCCTTAGATGGTGGTCATTCCCAGTTAGTACATAGTTGACTGGCTTGCAGTGCAGAGCAATGCCATCAGCACGGGCTCAATTCCTGCACTGACTGGGGTTACCATGAATGTGGCACCTTCTCAACTTATCCCTGTCCCTGAGGCGCGCTGATCTTCAGGTTAAGCTAGTTGGCTTTCTCTACTGAGAGAGCAGCCCTCTGGGACTGTAGTGACTCTTGGGTAGTTTGGGGATTATGGCAGTTTAACTAGTAATGTAGCCTCTCCTTTTAGGCCATCACTCATGTGCAGCTTTTGAGTATGTCATCTAACTATGCACTCACTCGAGTCAATTTCAGGCTAATTAGTGTTGGATGTTGCTCTAGTTTTGTAGTGTTGGGCAAATGTTTGCAAATTGCAGGCTCCAGCTTTGATGGAGAGCTTCTTACCAAAGTCATAATCAAACTATTAAGAAAAGATGACCTGTTATTTTCTTTACTTTTACTCTTACTGTTCTTTCCACACTTTGCAATGTGACTTCTGTAAGACAACAGATATACATAAAAGCTTAATTTAGAGAAAGGTTAAACTAAAGGAATGAATGCTAAAGGAATGAATGTTATCTTAATTCTAAGTAAAAGGTGAGCAGACTACAAAAGAATAAGACAGTGCAAGATATATTTGCTAAACTCACTGAATGTAAAACTGAGGGACGAGGGGTGGCAGAGAAAGAAATACTTTGTAAACATGTCTTCCATTCGAGCCTGAATTTATTTTTGTCTTAACATGCTTTTCTACTTCTTTTTGCCCTTACTGTGTCACTTGTTTTCTCTCACTTGTACTAGTCACCCTCACACTCGCATCTGCTCCAAGTTACACACTTCACAGGCCTTAAGAAGGTTTGCTCATTACTGAAGGAACAAACTCACATTTCAGCTTGGAACATTCGATTTCATGATAAACCCTTTGATGGAGTCCATGAATATCTGCACTTTAACCTTCAGATATAATGCTACCATTCAGCTGGACTAATCTTGCAACTCATCCCTGATATAACATGGCAGTAACTGTGCCTGTGCTAAGTTGGTTTGGAGTCAGGATCTCAGAAACTGGTCCCTTCATATCCATGCATTGGCATCAAGCAACTGTCATCAACAACTTGCATTTGCTTTTAACACAGTAAAAATATTCCAAGATGCCTTATAGGATCATTATCAAACAAAAAAAAAGCCAAGCTGCTTCATTAGGAATGGCAAAAAGAAGTTTGATCAAGAAAGTTGTTTTATGGAGTGAGTTAAAGATAGTCAGTGTCTTACAATGAAACCCACAGCTTAGGACCTAAGCAGCTGAAAGCATGACGGCCAATGGTGAATGATTAAAATCGAAGCTGCTCAAGAGGTCTGATGTGGAGGAAATATGGGAGGGAGGAGCTTTTGTAAAGAAAGATTAGAACCAAGTGATGGTGAGGTCACAATACCCTTCCTTCATAATTAAATGTCATGTATTTTTTAAAAAATTTTATGACATGATGTGGCAGAGCCTGAGCTGTAGATAGAGCACCAATAATATTGAGCCTTCCTTCTCCACACCGTTTGTATGCTTTACCTCAGAAATGTTGGTGTACAGTATTATGTGGGTTAACGTCTTCCAGTGTTTTCCTCAAATGTGAGCACGAGCAGTGTGTTGGCAGACTATTCAACTCTAGTGGGTTTCAGAATAAGTCTACTTCTGTTCTTAAACAATGTCGGTACACATATACCTGGAGGTCAAGGGACAAATATTGGCCTGGGAGAAATCCCCTGATTTTCCTTTAATACTGCTGCGGGATCTTTTTCACCAATGGGAAAGCTAGTACCTCGCGTATTGAGGTTTGTCATTTTGCTCTCCAAATACAAAGTAGTAGATGTTAGCAGCTCTTCTATTTGGCATCTCTTTTGATTGGGGTTGCGGAGAGTGACCAATGCTAGCTGATATTAATGTTTA